TGATACGATTTTATTCAGACGCTTCCTGGAAATGCAGGGGGCGGAGGGGGGGGCGGGGAGGCGGGGAGGCGGGGGAGAGAAGGGCTTGCTCGAACCCTTGCGAGCTGTCGTTGTGTGAGCATTTTGATCTTTCGAAATTCAAGGTTGCCGTAAATTGTACGTTAAAAATTTACAGAACTAATTATTTGGTTCGTGTGATGGATTGTTATGCACGTAATACACATTATTTTTTATCGGTTATTCAATTCATACGTTACACGCGTTAATTAATTATTACATACGATTCAATCGATTCTGCGAACGCGCATGGTTCTTCCGAGAACAGTCTTTTTGTCCTACAGTCGACGTTGAGTCACATGGCAAAAGGATCGTAAGGTACCGTATAAATACATAGTAATCCTATCCGATAATAGTCGCACGGTCAATTAAGATGACCGTCATAAGAACCAATTAAACGTAAGTGCGTGACCACCCTGGCTCGGGTTACGTATTTACGATCTAAAATTATGCGTTTTCGTCGCCCGCGCTCTCCCATTACTTGCCCTACGATTTCTTTTCTCAAGTGGCCCCCCCGCCACCCTCGTCCCTTACGATTATGAAATTTCATCTGTTTGCGTATACGCGCCTGATTTCATACTACGCGTACTGTATTTCCGACGCTTCGTTGGGAAGAACGCGTTTCCAAAGCTTCGTATAATTCGTCGTCAAAAGTTGGCCATAATTGACGCAATTATGTGTATAATGCAATTATCAGTTCATTTCCTCGGCATACGGCTATACGATAGACTGAAGCGATACTCTTTGGAAATGCGTAAATAATATATTTGCGTATAAACGTGACGACCGGATGTGTGATCTACGTGATTAATCGCCGCGTTAATTAAAATGTTCGCTTAATAAGTTCGCTTAAATGGCGGGAAAAACAGCGCGGCGATTCATTTAGCAATTATTTTATGTAGTTTATACGCACATACATACCACGAGTAAAGTACTTCGCACGATGCAGACCCGCGTGTACGATAATGCAGCAGATTTCAAAATTGCACCACGACAATAACGATTTCGGGTAGATTAATCTCTCCGATGAGACATCGTGCACGGTACGCTTTTAAGACGTTCAACAATGACATCTCCCTTCTCTTTTCCTTCTTACTGCAGTTGTCTTTTTACCGACATAAATGTCATTTATTATTATTTCGTATTAGTTTTATAAAATTAAAATTCTTTTCCCATGAAAATATACACGTTCTAATGTATCCGACTCTGTGTATTTTGTGTTCAGGAAAAAATTTATAAAATACAAATTTCCGTATTCATCGCGATCAATGCTGTCAATTTATCAAAACATTTATTTCATAAAAAAGTTATATGCTCGAAATAAAGGCAAAGTCAGGTGTAAAATAAAAAAGTTAATACATGTGAGTCGTTTGAATTAGAAGCGTAAATAAAGATTAATATTCTCTCTCTCTCTCTCTCTCTCTCTCTACGAATTTGTATGTACTTTATATTTTTATGTGTGCGATATTGACGTAATAATATACAGTGATACGTCGATGTCTCGTAAATCATACGTTTGTATTGTAATGTGTTAAATCGCATTTGATCGGTAAAATAGGACAACCCCAGCATCCCCTTATTACACGAACAAAAAAATATCTCGCGTATGTGGGCATATACATGGAATGCACGCGCCTTCCTTGAAGAGTGGCTCTTTTTTACAAAACCCTTTGTCGTCCTGGTTTCTCACATTCATAACTGGTTATACCAAACGAGTCGCCACAAGGGCACAAAAAATGGAGTGCGGCGTTTATCAAATATCTACTTCGAAGGGTGACCACTAGAACCTGGTTCGCTTTTCACACACTCACTACGTTATTCATCCTTAATTGAGGATTTCAATATAAGAAAGTCGCTTCCAGCTATGGAGATTATATAATATTACGATAATGATCGTTATTGTATATTTTGTGCTCATACATTCGCGAGATTTTATGATTAGATTATCTTGATCATCATATCGATTTTACGATAATTTATAATGTGATAATTAATTATTTTGTACATAATTTCTTGATGTTCTCAATATACCGATAACGCACTTGGTCGATAAACATAATAGAATATTTTGCGCCGTAGATAAAACATATGCATATTTCCCTTTTCGTATAGTTGCTGTTTAATCATTTTGTGAAAATTTTATGCATTATTCTTTTCTCTATTTCTACCTTTAACAGGAGAAAAATAGAAATGCATTATCCATTTTATTTTTAAATACTTTTATCGAAGTATCTCAGATTCGAATGTATGTACACGTATATACGTGATGGTTTTCTTGGATAACATCAACTTTAAAAGGAGCAAATAAATTCTCGTTCGGTGTCGATACTTTCAGAAAAATGAACGGCAGGGGGATTGTTTTACGTCGGGAAAAAAGTAGTCTCCGACAAACTTGCGGCTTGAATACGATCGAAAGGACAACACTTTTCCGACTGAGACATAGGCAGCGAACGCTACGTATGCTGATATATGGACCCGTCTCGCGTTGATAGATACCAGAAACTTTACAACTTTAATTTTTCCCTCGACGTCAATTTTGGGTTTTAATCTTGACCTACACCTCGGACAGGGCGCGTCAGACAAGAAAAGAATTATTACCGTTACAATTAAATAACGTCTTTCTCGTTGTGAATTGTATTTGAATTTCGGGACTTCGAATATTTCATCTGGAAAAGGTTTACATTTTTGAATACTAAAACAAGTTTTTTCAAAATGATAAGTAGATAGGTAATTTCACAAATTTTTTCTCCTTATTACAAAAAAATAAAACAATCTTTAGACAAAAATAATACAGGTTCCGCGCAGAGCAGGATGAGATCATGCAAAATAAAATAATGATTAATATGATGATAAATTACTTAAATGTATCAGATAACAATGGCGTGCATTATGTAATACTTCTTCCGACTTTTTAATATTCTCGAATCGATAACGGATATTAGTCCACCAATATATAAGTCTGATATTAATTGTTTAATCTTATCAAACAAAAATATCAACGTGTGAGAAATCGCATTAATAAAATTATTGTAATAATGTGAGATCAAATTGTAATTTTTATTAATAGATGACACACATTATTATATCGTCCTGTGGCACTAATGAAATAAATATGTTCCTTGTTAATCTTAACAGATTAACACGACTTAAAAGAATGCCTTTCTCATCAAGAAAGATGTATTCCTGTTTGGGACGTCCTGCATCAGGATTTTTTCAGTCAACCTATTCGGGACTCTTATTCATGTCAGGTGGTATTCATACTCAGGTCGGCTTGCATCTGGCGAACTCATTGTTCATGCGTTAATGAAACACAGCCCGCCTTCGCTAACTTTTATCGCGGATATTTCAATTGCGAGTGCGAACAATTGATATTCCTAGCGTATATCCGCAATGGAAACATTCGGCACCTTATCGAACTTGTAGATATCGCAATTTAGCACCGAGAACTAATCACTTCAGACTAAAATATTTTATACCGCCTGCAAAAGTCGCGTAACATTTAAAAAATTTATTAATACTTTTTAAATCCACTTCTAGCGGTATTTTTAACACACATTATAGCACATTAATGGAATATCTTCTGGGACATAAATATTCTTTTCTGCTTTTGTGTGTAAACTATTTCAACGTAACATATTTCTTTCAAAACTCACAAAACAGTCTATTCATTTCAGATCTTTTATCGTCAGTTTAAAGAAAGATGTTTGATTGTGTGTGTGAAATACTGTTAGATGATTGAGTCATAACCATGTAAGATAATTATGGAGATAATCCATTATCTAACTCTATGGGGTTGAATTTAGACTAATAAACGAAAAAAATTATATATATTTTTTATTTTGCAAAAATATAATGATAATATTGTACATCAGTGCTCTGTTGTAAATATAAGTATATAATTTTAACAAATTTCATTACATTTCTAATATCACGAAGATGATTGTACATTTTTCAGACAAGCATTATAGATCTGGAATGCGGAATTAACACACCTTTCACATAAACAGTGACTACATCCAAAAATCAACCATTTCTAAAAATCAACATCATTCGCATCCACGTTGAAATTGACGAAGATAACTCATTTCGAGCGCGACGGTCTTTCTTATTTTACAAAACCACGTTTATCTTCTTTTTTAAAACTTCATCTCGTGCATTATGTCAAAATGATAAATATCTACGTCTGTTTACACAAAACAGCCCGGAGCCTAAAATTCAGCGCACGGTTTAATCCAACTGTTTTCCGCATCGCCTTATTATCTTTGTTGCTATGCATGATATACGCGAAATATATTACGATAAAATTTAATGCACCGCGACTAAGACCGAGGTTGGTTCGAGCAATTCGCATTTCAAGAGGCCATGTGCCTCGGTGGATGTTTTCACCAGTGTACGCATCGAAGCGAGTCACTGCGAGAAAAAATGAACAACAGTAAAGAAATTAATACGTGTATTTAACGCGACTTGACTCGCATTTTGAAAACCGGACGTATCCTCCCGATATTTTGCATTTTCAATAAAAAGTTATGATGCGTTTTACATCACACGAGACATATTTCGCAAAATATATGATGGTTGCTTTTATCCCGGTAATTGGGTCGACGGTAAAGCGAAACAACGCACAATGTCGATGATACTTCAACCTGTTCTTTCAATAAATAGCATCTACGATTCCCGGTAGTTCAACGATTTGTAGTCCCGACTTAGACGATATAAAAATGCCCTGATACGAGAGCTACAACACTCGCGTTCGAAACAGCCGCTGCGGGCGGAAACGAAATTACGCACCGTGAACACGTCCGATCGATTGCCGGGAAAAACGAGTTTAGCCCGGCGCAGATTTCTCCTTCCTGTTCCGCAATGAATTTCCAAATCCAGAATCCTCGCTGACGGCTGATCGTCAATCGGACCGATCCTTCCAGATAGAGCGGCAATCATCATCGTCACATCGCGAGTGGTTCGATCGCGAACGGAGACGACGGATTGGTTATCAGATAAAATTTACCGTTTGGTCTGAAGAACGGCTTATGACCACCCATGAAGGATGCTTGGGTGTCGTTACATAGGCCCGACTTAAATTTAGAGAAGCTATCACACTGTCTCGCGAGGAACCCTACGTGACTAGTGATAGATTCGGCGAAGTACTGAAACGAGCGACTGTGAGAGCACGAGCCGCCAAGATCTACCCCACAGCCAACTTGCTTTTGACCGCCGTTAGGATAAAAGTCAATATTTCCAATGGGTTCTAAGAAGCCAAGCACACCACCGTTAGTGTGGATAATTTCCACATAATTTGCATCTTCATTCGATATCCTGAGTCCTGGACCTTCTACCCTAAAACCAGGCAAGGCTGGATCTAGTCCTGGAATGATAAATTCACGCCATGTCAGTGAATAATTATAATTGATTGAGACCAACATAATCAATTTTTCTATTTGATAAATAAAACGAGCAATGACAACGTTTGATTAACACACGTAAAAAAAGTGTTTTTTTATAAAAAGTAAAACATAAAACTTTCTGTGAAAATAATACATGCATATTGGATGCTTAATGCGTATCAAACATGAAAAATAAACGCAAATTTCTCAAAAATTTGATAAACGTCACAAAATGTTTCTGTAAAAAATAATAATACATTAACATTAGAAATATACTATCACATTTCTTTTACACAAAGAGAAGGGAGAAATAAAATTCTTTTAATTGTTTGTATAATTTCCAATATCTACGACTCAATGACGCTTGATAAAAAGTGTGGCTTTTTATCACGTACAAAAATTTAATACTTTAATCAAAATATTAAACATAAAGATATAATATATTTCATGCAACGTTAAATATCCTTCTTAGTCAAATATGAAAGTTATTAGATGTCAAATATCAAAAACTTACCCACGACGTAATCGACATCGCTAGTAGCGTTATAAGCAGCGATTCCAGCTACATGGGCACCAAGAGAGTGGCCAATTACTTTAGTTTCCCACGGATTCATTCCGTTCTTTACAAGAAAATCAATCATAGTGGCGACAAATTGACCAATTGCCATAACACGCCTGGTAGCCGAAACATAGGACATGCTGCTTATTGCACTCCAGTCGATGACGATAACATTGTAATCGCTAACCTGAAGATAAGCTGCAGCATAAAAAGTGACAGACATCAGTAATAACCTAAGAAAAGTAATGAAAAGGAAAGAATAACACTGTTTTGAGACTTAATTAATTTTTGTACAGAAAGAAATTAACGTCATATGTTGAATTTCTATAATAATTCTTTTAAGTTACGAAACGCCCATATAATATTTGTATATTAATGACAAATAATCAAATACCGTCGCGAATTAAAGTGCATGATGCGCTGTTGCGAGAACTTTTCCATCCGTGAGTTATAAAACGCGTTGGTTGTGTTGGGTCGAAGTTGCTGTTCTTCAGAGTATCTTTATCGTCGACGTAGAGCTGCTTCGGTTCAATGGGATTGTCTTTTTTGTACAGATAAAAAAGGACCCTGTCTGACACATCGCTGTCATTTCCATATGCACTTTGCTCGACGTAGTCATCTTCCAATGTCAGCTTCACCAAGTTCTTGTTGTCATCATACACATATGCTTCTTCATTTTCAAAGAATGCATAATCCAATGAAGTAAATATATTGTCAGAAAGCACTTCCTCTTTCACTGGAAGCCCTGTGTACAATCAGGATACAAGATACTCGTACAACACATAATAAAAAATGAAAAAGAAGATGTATAATAGGAATACATCAAACGAGAGAGACACAAGAGAGAAAATATTGTTATAGTAACGATTATTTTTCTGTTCAAGTCTTAAAAAGTTATACAAATTACTGTACAAATTTAAAATCCAATAAATTTATCTTTTTTTTTATAGAAGAACACATTTTTAAATATTTTTACCAGTTACAGAGCAGGCAAGTAAGACGCCAATTAGAACGTACATTCCCATGTTTAACGTTATTCTATTGTTATCTCACATTCAACCGCTTATAAAGTACCTGACTTCTATCAATATATATGTATACAATTTTATACTTGAGTTCTATCAGTATACACATTTTTAGCGATAAGATAAATTTCTTTTGTAGTATCGCATCGATTATTCGATAATATCTGAGATATCTCATTCAGATCGCAACAACATTTGCATCGATATTTTTGCACAAATTTACCAAAATCTAAATTTTTTTACATTTCGTTAAAATATATGATGCATTTTTTTAATCTTTAGAAATAAATGAACGATTTAATACTTTTTTATTCATTGTATGCATGTATGTTATATTTAATGAACTACTTTAACGCATATTGAGTATCAATGATAAGTAACAAGAATGAAACATAAAATACACAGAATTATATGTTACAATATAAAAATAACGCAGTCCTAAACTCTGTTGTGACTGAAAAGAAAAGGATTTTACTCAAGCTTTTTAAAGCTCTTTACACAATTTACACACAGAACAATACATACATAAATATAAATTACTCGTTCAAGTATTTTAAGAGTTAATAAATCCGTAAATGTTTATCATAAGGTCGTCACAAGCATCAAATTTATTTAAAACATTCTGAATCGCATAAGTAGGTTTAATAATTTAATCAAGATTATTAAATAAAAACAAATACGATTTGCTCATTATATAATGACACTTTTTCGATAAAATTTTGTAATATTCTTTAAAAGATAAGAAATTCTTGTTTTAAATATATGATAATGAGAGTTTCTCTCTCTTTCTCTCTCTCTCTCTCTCTCTTATATGTATAAAATTTATTTTTTGCGACTATTTTATCAAGAAAATATTTTTAAAGATAACTGTTACTAGAAGAAAAAAGTAAATCGAGTAATCACTTTCTTAGCAATAGAATGATATTTTTTGTGTGTATTTTTTATAAATAAATAGAAATTAATTGCTTTGCGAGCAAGCTCATATATATATTGATGATTATAAACACAATAAATTTCAAAAAGTCCTAATAATAAAAACAGCACGATAAAAGAATTAGTAAAAAAAAACAATATATTTTACAATAAGACAATGTCTATCGGGGCAAAACTTTAATGAAAGAACCGATATAATATTGACAAGATATCATTTATTTTTTTGAACGTTAATTATCTGATCCGCTTATTGTTTAATTCTATTGAGATTTACCATTTTTTCGGATCTAGTTTGTATCGTAAATCAACTTCCTCTGTCGTCACTGAGATTATTCGATAATCAGATTCGTTTCGATAATCAGCGGATGTTATTGATATGACAAGTACTTTTGTTAAGAAATAGAATTGAAGGCCTAACGGGAATCCCACGTACAACAGAGATATTAACGGATATTTTATCGCACAGAAGAATTGTACACAAAACGCTAGAAATATGAAAATGCAAATTAATACAGCGTAACAATTCGATAAATCATATAATTTAAATATAAAACGATTGGTCGGCTCGTATTCCGCACATTCCAATATCCCTTGAAAGAGTTTAATATTTTAAGGACATTATTATTCTCTATTATTATATTAATTACATCGAGTTAATATCGGGTTAATGATATAATTAAGCTATCAAGTAAATAGAGTTTTTATGCAATTCACGTTTTGATTGTAACCTCATTTTGGACAATCAATTATTTGTATATCAATTGCGTTATCCGCATTATCAATCATTCTTATAAAACATCAATAACCGTTAATTATCCACATGTATCTCGTTTGATTTTTAAATGATGCCTTGAAATTCCATATGATATAAATTGAACACGCGTTATATTTACACAATAATATAATATTAAAAAGGACAGATGCATCACAAAAAGTAATAATGCATCTTAATGCTATTTTTAGTTTAACATTAAGTGCAACAGGAAATAAAGAGAAGATTTAAGCGAGTAAGAAAAATGTAATATTTCTTTTATTCTTATTATACGCTTAATCTAGTAAATGATAGTTAACAAAGATCATTGATATATAAAAAAGAAAAATAAGAGAAACATACAATACTTATTGTTAGAAATATTGGATTGTTTTAAAAAAACATGAATTAACAATGACACAATAATAAGGAATATTAAAGATAATAATAGTTTTTTCTTCACGTTGATTTGTTATATCAAAACGTTAGCAAATCGGTTCGAATTTGTAGTGCGGCTATATTGATGCTTATCTATGACATTTCGAAACACATTTTGCAATGTGCATAAATTTCAAATAGGCATTGTTGACAAGTATCAATGTCAAACATTTCACAGAGAAGTTCACGATAACGGACAATATCGGACGATCTGATTGATCGGTATTTCGTTTTACGTGAGACCTCGACTAGCAAGGTGGAAATACGACGTGCGAGAAACGACTTACATGGGCGACTAGGAAAATACGACCTCCTAAACGTACGTGTTTTCCCACTGAGACATTTAATTCCCCCGTACTCGCGGGTTTTTATTCGTAATTGAGTCCTACGGCGCGGTCCCCGTTGCGTTTACGTAAATTTTAAAATATTCCAATTAGTATAATGAAATTAGTGCGCTTATGAAAATTTCGCGGCATTAGCCGGGCCGCGGGGAAAGACGATGTTAACGTGTCTATGAAAATTTTCATTTGCACATTGACGTGAGAGACTGTTAAGCGAGCGCGGAAGGATTAAGAGACGGAAACCTGTTGTGGCGTGTGTTCTTTTTTAAAAGCCGCGGCGGGTTCTCGCCCTCGGCGGTTACATTTCTCAGACAGAATCAAACAGGTTCGCTTCGTACACAGCGCGCGGAATAAAAACCAGTTTTAACGACCCGCTTGAAATTTTTATTGTACACAGAGCGCGCTCAGCGGAATGCATTCGATACAAATACTTTCCGATCTGCAGCGGCTATCGCCTTTGTTCCGATGCGTTTACAGGTGTTGAATATTAAAATGAGGTGGGTTTATCGGAAAAATCGGGACGCGATCGGCTTACATTTTTCCCGTAAACTTCTCGTTTAATTTCGCCTATTGCATTGTATTTGCAGACTGCTTTTAACGTAATTAATGGCAAATCAGCGATTAATAAATGTCATTATAATTTGCGCTAGACATTTTTCTCAAAAGTTAGAAAAATAAAAAAGAAAAATTGATTGTGGCTATTTTTTATTTTAAAGTTCTCTCGGAAATTGATTTTTTTTTTCATAGATGAAAAAGGAAAAAAAAGATTTTTTTGCACATTTTTCAGCAAGGCGTAGGTTACAGTGCTAGAAGCGTGCAAAATTATGCTTAGATGACCGAAGACTCGACGTCCACGGTGCGGGCGCTTGCGTGAAGCTCGAAAATGAGGGGGACGACGGGGAGAAGCAAAGTGGGTGGTGGTCTGGGGGTGACGGGGGAACGGGGAGTTGGAGCTGTGAAAGCGAGGGCGCCTGCAGTGACTAGCCTCCATCGATTTACCGTGCGGCGCCATCTTGCCACCCTACGCCACGGGGGTTGACCACCCCTCTGCCACCCCCTTTGCCTCCCTCCGCCGCCGCCTGTCGGGGTCACCCCCCTCGAGGCAGAGGCAGACATTTTGAAAAATGATTCCGAAAGTCATCGTGGCCCGCACTGGCGTTTTTTAGCGGGCTCGACCCGGCCGCCCGGTCCGCCCGACATCCCTCTCTTTTTCGCGCTTGGTCTTTCGCATTCGAAGAGCAAGGGAAGAAAAAGCGGACGCGCGACAAAAAGAGGGAAAACTATCGCGGCAAAAGACGCGGAAATAAATGAGCGCGTAGCCGGAGTCTGCGTGTTCTGGTTATTAAGCCCTAAGTGATGAGATTTTCGCTACGCCGAGCACCAGCCATAACAAAACGCGCCAACTTTTTCATCACATCGAGTCGTAACGATCGTTCTTTTTTTTACAAACAGCAACATTAATCATTTGCTGCGTTTATCTGAAATCTCATTTCTAAGAATTCATCGACGTGACAGAAATATTTTCTTAACATAAAAATGCATGATATAATTATGACTCATAAAAATAAAAGTAATTAAAATTACTTTTATTATTTGACTTTTTATTTGTCGAAATATCGACGGAAAAGGCTTGTTACTTTAATCTCTAAGGGGTGATATCGTCATTGCGTCGAGAATTTATGATTGTCGCTATATATAATGTTGCGTCGAGCTATCTGCAATTATGCATACGAGTAGAGTTCTATGTTCAAATACTAAACGGTTGACTTTTTAGAATTACTTATTTTTTTTCGAGAGACATTAATTTTTGTAACTGTAGCTGCTTATATAGGTTGATTCAGTCTTCTCTCTCTCATTTATATATCTCTCTATATATGGTGTGTGTGTGTGTGTGTGTGTGTGTGTGTGTTGTGTGTGTGTATGTGTATGTGTGTGTATTAGCATTGATATTAGATTAAAATTACATCTTTCGGAGAATAATTTTCTGTTATTTTTCTTGTCAATGATTTATACGCATTAATTTAGATGAAATTACGAAGAACTTAAGGAGGCCCCAATGATTCACTGAAAGGACGTGATATTTTAAATGGACGGTTGCAGCCTGTGGCTGGGCATTCCGAATCAAAAGAGGCGAAGAACAAAGGTCGACAGGAGAGAAAGATTTCAATCGTGTCTACCAATCGCGGGATAAACAATACGGGGCTTTCGAGAATGCACGGTGCGGTCGATCGACTCTCGATTAATCAGAAAAAATTCTTGTTTTTGTGAAAAAAGATCACCATTCTAGACGATAGTGCAGAAACAAGAGACTCCGAAATCTTCTGAGAGTCACACCCACGTGTGTAGTAAAATATATAAAGTGTAATAAGAGAATAAAATCAATTTTGATGTGCAAAAATAATATTATATATATCCAATGATATTTATGTTCAATGATATTTATTTACACCACCAAGCTATCAAAACAGTGATCTAATAAAAACAATAATGAACAAGAGTTGAAGCACATTTTTAAATAACATCTCATTTATATTCCGCTCGGATAACGTACGATCTGCATTGCGACGAAAGTATGTCAAAGGGAGCTTGCGATATTTTTGTGAGCGAATGCAACATGAGAATGATAAGAATAAATCCAGAGTAAAT